GAACAATAGAGCGGGCACGGAATAGGGAGCAGAAAGCTGAGCAGTGGAGCGGGCAGGGAGGAGAAGGTGGGGAGCAGAAAGCGGAGCAGCCACGCGGCCCCGCCCTCACCCAGGAAGGCGGCGCCCTCTACAAGGCGCTGCAGCCGCGGCAGGCTCCGCTCGAAGCGCCCCGCCCCCACCTCCATCTCCGTGCAGTGCTCGAGCCTCGCACCCAGCCGCGCCCGCGATGACATCACCAACCTCACCCCGCGACCGGGGTTTTTGGTTGTTTTTAAAGAGACAGGCCGCGAAGCAGCGGTGCGGGTGGCGCGCGGGCGCCTCCTGCTGCGGGGAGGCTGCTTCCACGGCCGGCGAGGGAGGGGGACCTGCGTGCATGCTTCACCTGCCAGGGCACCAGGCTCCCTGCGGGACACGCCGGCGCTCAGTGCCCCTGGGGGGTTTGACTCCAGGGAAATCCTACAGCAAACCTGTTGTAAAACCAAGAGGCGGCGCCTGCAGGAAAAGCGGGGCAGGGAGCAGAAAGCAGAGCACCAGATCGAGCAGGGAGTACCGGGGGGGAGGGGGTTGAGAGCAGAAAGCAGTGTGGCAGAAGTGGGCAGCGAGCATGGCAGGCAGCAGAAAGAGAAGCGGCAGCAGAGCAGGCAGGGAGCATGGGGCAGGGAACCAGGCTGCAGAGTGGGTGGAGAACTGAGCAGCAGAGCAGGCAGGGAACCGACAGCAGAGCAGCAGATAGGACAAGGGGGTGGGGGGGTACAGAAAGCAGAGCAGCAAATCGGGCAGGGAGCAAAAAACAGAGCAGCAGATCAGACAGGGAGCACAGGCAATGGCCCCTTGTCAAGAATGACTGCACTAGCAGTTGGAGCATAAAAACATAAGCACTGCCATTTGCTGGGTCAGACCACAGGCCCACCTGGCCCAGTCTCTTGTGTCACACGGGGTCCACTTCCAGACCATCCATTGCCACCTGCTCTACGCACTCGTGCTCTGCACCCTCCACCATCCCTCCTCACCTGGACACCAA